GTTCCAAAATATAATATGATATAAATGAAGTAAGAATTACACTGAAAAAGAATTACCCATAACGATGTATATATTTAACTCAAGTGAATGAACTAGTTAAGTGTGGAATCAAAACAATCTATGATGTTGCTTGAGAATATATGTGTCTGCTATACACGTATTCTCGTTTGTCAGTGGCATGATAATAATGTAACCAACATCTCTTTACACTAAAGAGAATAAATGTAAAGCTAACTAGAGCATTTCAGTTATTTTAAAACCAAAAATTTGACTTAGAGGACTTACAATCTTGGTACAGACATTTCCCCCACCTACGATTTGCCAGGACTTAAGCACTGTAAGTTCAAATCAGTGATGTTAAGAGGTGACATCATAAAGAGGCCAAGAGCATTGAGAGTTAAAGGGGAAAAACAAGATGAGCCACTCTTACTTGTGTTTTATGATCTCTAATATTCAGTCTAAGATTGGTGTTTACTTCCATTCATTATTACTAAATACAACTGGTATTTTGAAAATACAACCAGTTGATTTTATATCTTAATAAAATAGTTGTTTCAATTTTTGCATAGTTTTAATTTATTGAATGATATGACAAAAGGATGATTAAACATTTATCTGTTAGAGTGATTGTAATCCTAACTTTCCTGACATTCATGTGTCTTTTGTTAAATTCTTTGTGTAACTTTATATTTCCTTTTCCCATCTTAACCTATGAGTTGCTCATAGATACAAGGTTTTAAATAAGGCTAGGTGCTTATTAAAATTATCTACATACTGATAGAGCTGAGTTAGATAACTTTAATCCCACCCACCACTCCAGCCCACTGATAGATGAATAAAAATACTGTATAGTGTAGTATTTGAACATATTCCCATTATTTAGCTTCTTTTAGGGACTTTCAATTAATTTTTTTTCCTTAAGGAAAAGGGTTTTTTTAAGTTCAGCCATCCAGATAAACTACAAAAATTGCAGTGATTTTTCTCAATGAAAGTTTTTCTCTCATGTCTGAGACCATGGTAAATTCTAGAGCATTTGGGGTGGGGGAATTCCATAAGGTGATTTAGGAATTCAGATTTCTCTGATTTATTGCTATACTATCCACTAATTAACATTATTAATGCTGATATTTTCCCACAAAGTAGTGATTTAGTAAGCAAAGCATGATTTGTAAATCCACAGTAAGTGGTTTACAGGTTATAAAATAATTTGTTTACATTAATTCATTTATTTCTTATAGTAAAAAGGTAAGAGCAGTTGGTCTTTGATATTTAATGTCATTGCCTAAGAATTTGCAATGTGTTGCCAATTTAAAAATATAGTATATAATTTTTCCAATAAAATCAATGTATATATATAACTAAAATGGGTTCTTCAAGCTTCTGATGGTTTCAGTGGTTCACCTATTTATGTGTGTATATCTGTACATATGTGTGTATATATATATGATTTGTCTATCAACTCATCTGTCCATCTGTGTATCATCAACTTATTTATTTCCCTCTGTTTCATGAGAGACTTAAGACGCATAACAAGGGCATGTAAATATAAAAATAAAATTATTTTGTATAGTATAATAGTTTGTATAATATTATAAAAATTAACCATGTAATTGTGTAAATATATAGTTTTTATTTTTTTAAATGTAAGTAAAATCATAAGTGATTTTATGATCATCATGATGATCATAAAATGAACAAACCTTTTAACAACTATTTTTGTTACAAATAGATCATTACTAGTAGCCTGTTATCTATTCAGTTTGTTATTTATGCCTTTCCTGGTGACCACTCTTCTGTCTTATAACAGTATAAATTTTGTTTAGTTTTGAAATCTATATGGATAGTATCATACAACTTATTTTATTGTATGTGGCTTGTTTCAGTATACATTTTTATGTTCATCTATACTGTTGCATATATTTTCAGCTTGTTCCTAATTTATCTCTATGTAATTATTTGTAGTATTATAAGCATTATATGTATATATGATAGTTTACTTACGTATTCCACAATTCAATTTATTTTACTTTCAGTTTTTAACAAATAGAAATTATTTGTTCTGAACAATTTTGCGTATGTATTTTGGTAGACATGATCATACATTCAGGTTGGCATATAATATTTATTAAGGTACTTGGTCATAGGGTTTAATGATACTACTCAACCTTAGATAACACCAAATAGTTTTCCAAAGTGCTTATATCACTGTCAGTGTATGAGAGTTCCTGTTGACGTACATCCTTACCATAATTAACATTATGAGTAATTTTAACTTTAGCTAGTTTGAAGGTATGTGATTATATATTACTGTTACTTAATATTTCATTTCCTGATTATAAATGATTAGAAAACTGGTGAAAAAGATGACCTAGAGAGGAAAAAAAGAAAAAAAAAACATGTAACATACGAAAGAGCAAAAATAAGAATTACAGCAAATTTTTCATCAAAACTGTGTAAGCCATAGATGTATTGAAAGTAAAATAAGAGAAATATATAATGTGAAAATACTAATTATAAGAAAACTGGAATGACTGTATTTACATTGGGGCACAAAGTAGGTGACAGAGAAAGAAATATAACCAGGGATAGAGAGAAACATTACAAAAACATAAAGGAGTCAACTTGTCGGGAAGACATAATATTCCTAAATGTTTTTGTGCCGAAAACCAGAATTTACACCAAGCAAAAGATGATAGAACTGAAAGGACAAATAGATCTGAAATTACAGATGGATGCTTTATCCCTCTTTGCTTAGTAATCAATGGGGTAAGAAGACAGAAAACACTAAGATCATAGAAACTCTTCAAACTGTCAACCAACTTGTCCCTATTTACATTTAAAATATTCAGTTCAACTATGAGAGAACATGTATTCTTTTCAAGCTTTCAAATAAATATATAGCAAAATGTTGATTAACTTGAATCAGTGTAGGAAACATCTAACCATTTTTGCCCTCAAATTTTTATCCATAAATACAGACAAAATTAATTATCTCTAGGAACTTTAGATGTGAAAAACAGTGGCTTAGTGTGCCCCACTGAACTTGGATATTAACATAAATTAGCTTTTCATTCTATTTGGGTATCAAAATGCATCTTTTAATTTGGGAATATTTATTATGTGTCAAAATCACCTGGAGGACTTGTTAAATACTGATTGTTTGGACCTAACTCTAGAGTGTCTGATTTAATGGTTCTCTGATAGGGCTTGTGAATTTAATTTCTAACAAGTTCCCTGGTAAAAATAATGCTTCTGGCCAAGGAACTACACTTTGAAACTATTGCTTAAGGCATATTGTTATGATTTGATAAGTTTAAAAATACTTATTTAATCTTGTCGTAAGAGATAGTTGGAGGAAAAGGATCATAATTGCTATATGTAACATTTATCAGTAATGACAAATTACATTGTCCTTTTAAAATTTTTAAAAAATCTATACAATTTTTAAAGGTTACACTCCATTTACATTTACTACAAAATATTGGCTATATTCCCCATGCTGTATAATAATACACACCTACAGCTTGTCTTATACACAATGGTTTGTACCTTCCACTCCCCCATCCCATATTGCCCCTCATTGGTGATCACTAGTTTGTTCTCTATATCTGTGAGTCTGTTTCTTTTTTGTTATATTCACTAGTTTGTTGTATTTTTTAGATTCCACATATAGATGATATCATACAGTATTTATCTTTCTCGAGCTGACTTATTCTACTCAACATAATGCCCTCCCAGTCTTTTTTGTGTATAGAAAATAGATAAATGTCCTTCTCCTGCATTAAAATAAAGTCCTACATTCAAAATTCACTCATTATGTTGGAATGCTATTTCATAAGGAATAATCTATAAGAATTAAAATATAGGCAAGAATTTTTAGTTCATCCATAATATATTTATACTATATTTTATGTTTCCATTGTAACCAAGAGAATGCAAATGCTATTGGATAAACAGTTTATCACAATGACATTTATTCATAAATCATTTTTTAGCTTGAAAAATTATCTAAACTTCATAGTTAGAAGTTTGCTTTTCTTCCTTTGTGCTTATTAGCTGCAATTTTAGTTAGCTGCAATATCTTTTTTCCTTTACAAAGTTTTTTTTTTGATTACTTAAATGACAGTAATTAAACTTTCAGTGAAAGGAACATTCAGAACACATAGAAGAATACGATGCATGTGGAAATTTTGGCTTTTATGCTATGCCAAGTGCAGGAGTACTATGAAATACGTGAGAATGATAGAACATAATACATTGCCTTGAGGATAATTGATTTTAGCTAGTGATTGCAAAATCTTTTTTTCCAACTGCTCCATGTAACTTGGTATTAATATATGTCTATTTTATTTGTTTGCAGATTATTCTCCAAATGTGAATATCTGTCAAATCCAAGTATATTTTTTACTACCAATGTCAAAACATTGTTCTTTCTGAATATGGCATTCTAGAGAAACTACCTTTGGCTAGATCATTTATTATATAATAACAGATGCCCAGTTTACTTATTCACTCATACAATAAACACTTACTGCATTTCTATTCCTCATCAGGAATTGTACTATCTAGGATATGCAAACACAAGAATTATGTTATAAATTTCCTTGAATATATTCATATAGAGAAACATAGAAGCAAGTAATTTCAAGCCAATTTAAGGAAAATATTATGAAGATTAAAGTAAAAATGAAAATCATGAAAGATTT